AATAAGGTAGTCAAATACTAATTTCTACAGCAAAAGTTATCTGCTTATGAAAATGGACGGCTTAGTAGATGTATCGGATACAAATCCAAATACTCTCACATCTCTATCGTGAAAAATAATGAAAATAGGTAGATAAATACATAAAGATCTACAATCAAGATAGAGGCATCCCTCGGCTGAAATAAAAAGCCTTCTATTGCAGCTTTGTATTGTAGTAAAGAAGCCATTCTTACGCACGCAATTTATGGTCTAGTAATATTTTATTTCAGTAGGTAATATAAAATATAAAAAGTAAGAGAATAAAATGTAGGTCATAATTATTAAGAGTAGGCGCACACCGTTGATTTTTAGTTGGCCGATAATTGTGCCCGATTTTAATTTGTATGAAGAATCGGCGAAATCGTATCGGCGTAGTGTGCGCACTCCCATACATGCCCATACTGATCAACTGCCCGACTAAAATATCGGCCGACGAAAAATCAACGGTGTGCGCCCACTCTAAGTGTGACAAAAAACTTTACTTATACTTCAAAATTAAAATATTACAGTAAATTCAAATAAATTAATATTAAAAGTTCAATTCACTCCAGGGAATAACAAGATGCACCTGAAAATAGCGCTGAAAAAACTATTTTAATTATTTGTGTTGGGCAGGGTTTTCAAAACAGAAAAAAGTGTTCTTTTCGAAAAGTTGTAAGTTGTAATTACTGGTTAACTAGATAGGTACCCAATTAAGGGGTAAAAGACAACCATAGCGACTGTGGCCCAAACATAAATTTATCACTTCGTTTGTTTTTACACCATGTAGAAATCTATTAGAGATAGTTACTTTCGAAGTTATTTCATTAGTATTAATCACATTAAAGTTTTATTGACAACATGTAAAATGTATGACATGTCTACTAAGTTGTACAGACGTACGTACCAATCTAAACGTTAAATGCAATTCGCAAAAGCACTAAACTCGCGGCGCAAGTTCAACTCTGTCAGTCCGGTGAGCAAGCATTGTAGGTATGTAGTTTTGAGTAGTGTGACCATATTTAATAATATACCTACTTACTTGAGACATTATTTATCCAATGTTTTAGTATATTCTTAAATTCTTTACTTATCTAATTTATCATGTACCTAATGGCATAAACAAGATAGGATTCTAATGATGCTTACGTAATTTATCTGAATAAGTATCAATAGGTTTGAGTTCTAGCTTTGAGTTGACTTTGGGTTTTAACTTTTTCTTCCTCCCGCTTACCTTACTTATGAAATTGAAGTAGCCGATAAAGCTACCGCCCGGTATAAGGTTTTACAACCAGCTGTTACGCAGTGCGTTGATATTATGATAAGTATAGGTAATACTAATATATGTTGATAACGGAGCTTTTCTAGGACCCCAGAAATGGAGATCATAGTTCAATGATCTATTTTGACAAACAGTCTTATTAGTTAATATTAACTAAGAAACTCCGTTAGTAGGCTTTAGGCTTTCGTATAACCGTATAAAATATCCCACAACACCTAAATAGTTGGTCTCCCTACATCCGTGTGCAAACGGCAACTTCCCTCGGCGAGCAACTTGCGCAGTCGATCCCAACTGTCGCGTGTACCTGCCTACAGCCTACAGCCTACAGGAACCCGCCGACACACGAGTAACTAACACTACCTGCAACTATTATTTACTCGTGCCTCAATAATAGAGACGAACTTTCAGTAATAATAAGCTCAGTATCTAAGTTTGTGGCTGAACCCCGTGGATTTCCTGTCAGCATCATACTAGTAATATTTGTTACCTACTTAGGTATTACGGTGTATGGGAAAACACACCTTAATAACCACGTGTTGGGAGTAGTAGCTTTTTAACATGGATAAGTAGACCTATAAGCATTAACTGAACAAGATTTAAAGAACCATTTAATCATTGCCTGGCGCTCTACGCGCTATAGCGGAATGCCTGCTTAATCTCTAGTACCTACCGTCAAATTGACCGCTGCGGTCTTTGAAGGTATAGCATGAAGCCCGGCCCTTCTAGTGTTAATGAAATAAAAAGATTCATCTATTCCCTTTACGCTTTATTAAGCAACATAGTAAGTTTGTTCGGAAAATGTCTAACGGTTAAAATAATGTTACGTATGGTAAAGTTTGTCATATAAAAAGCAAGTCCTGTTTCTTCTACTTCTAAATCTACATGGAAAACTTTAAATTAAAAAAACTGAGGCTTGGAAGAGCAATTTTAAAATGTTATACGAAAAGAAGAGAATATTTTAGATTTCAGTTTCATTTAGTTGCAGAGTTTCATAATGCTATGAAAGTTATGCTGGTCCTACCGTGATTTAAAACTTACCCACTCTAGGTAAGTAGGTACTCACATAATTTAAGTTATAGATTATGATAGATTAAGTAGGTTCATAATAATCAAAGGTTTACTTCATCTATAGGTATTTATGATGTACCTAGTTCCCATTACGGATATGGACTCACGAAATTCGCGAATCTATGTCCATCTGAACTTCCAAAACGCAATATAAAATTCAACATGTAGACCATTTCGTTTGTGGGAAGTCGTTAATGACCCATGGAATCGTTTTTATGATGTTTACTTTGATCAGAGTACAGCATCAAACGTCTTTTATGGAGCAATAACTTGAAATTCGATAGCAAATTGGATGTTTCTTCGTGTACAGAAAGAATCTCAAAAGCCATCGCACTACTTAGTTACTTACCTCGTACCGTTCGGTCTGTGTTCCATGTGAAATAACCATGAACGTATAGTTTTAAACTTTTTAGATAAATAACCATTTTTAAAATGGTACAAGTACTCACATATTATTATGCAATTTAAGTTAATTTAATTTATCTATACCTACCTAAATATAATTTAAGAAAGTGGGCTAATCTAGTCTAGGTAATAATAGTATCGCACAATAATTCGATTAAGTTAATGTTTTATGGATTGAAGAAATGGTAAAATCATGTGCGATGATAAACTTGACGAGGGTGGAAATGATGATGATTTATTTAATAGTTAAGTTATTAAAATTATTGGCAAATCGTCGAAAATTATAACTGCAAAGGCAAATTACCTACCTATATCTTTTGGAAATACTAAAGAAAAGCTGGAAAAGTACTTTTTGTATGCAGATATTGAATTGAATAATACTTCTAGCGACATCTATGAAGTAAATCTAAGGTTTCTTTTATCTCATGTCTATGGTTAACCGGAAATGATTAGTCGAACGTTAAAATAATGGAATCCATTCAAATTTTGACTTTGACAGGATGTTTTGTGGTTGCGTTTTGACCATGAAGCTAAAGATAAAAATGGAGGCCAGACTTAGAATACCTACTTGAAGCACAACCTATGTATCACTATCTCGCTCTCTGTGGGCAGGCTCTCTCTTTCTAAGTAGGGTAACCTTTTATTTATTTTTCTCAGGACGACAAAGACTGATTTACGTTTAAACAGTGTGTCTTGATAAAGTGCACTTAATATGATTATGAAAAAAGGTTTTCGATGTTTTTGTTTTAAGATGAATTACAACATTAAGGCATCGAAAACTGTGGATATTTGATAGAAAACAGATTTTAATTTGGCAGTTGACAGACGGATTTGGATATGGATTGATTACAGTAAACGGCCGTAGAAAACATTATGCAAAATTAGATAAGTAAGGTCCCACAGAAAGTCCCAGATATATCCTCAATATGGTCATACTACTTCAAAATATCTTATAGAAACAAAAATTTTAAATTTGCTCAAAGTCAATGAAACTCAATGTAAAATCTTCTTTTTCTTGACATATGTAACATTTAATAATAAGTTTAAATACTGGTAAAACGTTTTAGGAAGTAATTACTGTGAAAATACAAAGAAATATGTTAACAATGATCCACTGTCAGAAATCACGAAATAAACACTTACGCGTGGAATTTTATATCACTTCCAGGACAACACGAACTACCGCAACCACGCACTATACAATTTTGCACCATTTCTTCAGACAAAACAATGATAAGGTCCCTTGAAAAATCTCAAACGAAATCAACTGCATAGTAAACAACCGCCATGATGGGCCGGATTCGGCCGATGTTGCCACANGTCGTTTTGGCCTGGATCCCAAGTCATCGAGGAATTCCTGGTAATGAAACAGTAGACTCATCCGCCAAAATTGCTATAACCACTGGCTCGTTGGAACATTACAAGTTATATGCGCATGACGCTTCCTCCCTGCCACGCAGTCACCTTTACAAATCATGGAATACTCATTGGGAAAAGTCTAAACGATTGGCTGGTAGATATTATGCAGACATCCAACAGAGCATTCCCACAAGACCCTGGTTCTTTAAATATCACCACTTATCTAAAAGGACTGTTTCCATTATCTGTCGCTTGCGTCTTGGACATGCTTGTACACCGGTTCACCTTGCAAAAATGCGGATTAAAGATAATTCCCTATGTGAGTGCGGCTTAGATGAGGGATCAACCAATCATATATTTTTTAACTGTCCCAAAATTGGCTCTTCCTTGTTTGATTTTCTTCCAAAAAAATTCCCACTCCCTACTAACATTAAGTGTGTACTTAATTGTAATAACCCTTCCACTTTAAAATCCCTTGTTAAATTCATTAACTTAAACAAAATTAATTTGTAGGTGGATGGTTCTATTTGGCAAACGTTTTTAAATTATCCCTCTGAGTGACAAGTCTCTCCTTTTTTTTTTTTTTTTTTCCCCTAAATTGTCGCCCGCAACAACAACATCCCTTTTTTGTCTCCCATAATTTTATTGTTTGTTCTGTTGATATTTTATTTTCATGTATTGTGTTGTCTTATTTGTGATGTCTGTTTGTTTTAGGTATTTAAATTTGCTTAAATTGCAGCTACAAAATTATTTATTTTTATAACCACACTGTGTAAAAGCTGCGCACGTGACATTGGCGGAATAGTGTGCCCTCAGTGGCGAAAAAACGCAAGTTCATCGCCATAAACCAAAGAAGAAGAAGAAGACAGTGACAAGTGACAGCTGTTTGTTACGATAGAATATAATATAACCTATACATTTTAAAGTTTTACTTTATTTATTTATGAAAAACTTAATAATTACATGTAATGGATGACTCAAGTACTAGTGTAAAAAGACCACAGTTTGGAAATCGCATCTTGGAGAATGTTGACGAGGTCTTCAAACATAACGCGTGGTATCGTATCTTCTTTACTAAGACACTGTTCTAGATCTAGTTGTGCCGATAATGCCACAATAAAACTAGATCTAGAAAAGACTAGGCACAGAAAAAAGCCTCCTGGAGGCTCCAGATTCTTAGAAGACAAAAATAACCTGTACCTTTTTAATGCTTGGTACTGGGCTTCTTCTCACATTATTATGTACTTTTAAAGATTATTTGATAATTAACTAATTGTGTTATTTTCAGGGACAATGTCCAGTGGGATGAGGATCAGGAAAAAGCGGCCAAAGAGAAAGTGGAACTGAACTCTAAAGTTATTTTCTCTGAAGATCGCCTAAAAGATTTGGATGTAAACGCTGACAAACATTGGGATGCTTTCTATGATATTCATCAAAACAGGTACATAAAAAAATAGGATTTATTTAATAAGAATAATGAAAATAATTTGCTATGGATGGCTAAATAAATACTTTTGACCCCGTTTCCTAAAACAAAATTTAACTTAGTTTTTATATTACGTTCCAGGTTCTTCAAAGACCGCCACTGGCTATTCACTGAGTTTCCTGAGCTAGCCCCAGATTATACTGCAGCGCCTCAAAGAGTTTATCCAAATGATAACGATAATAAAACTGCAGAAATTGACAAATCCGCTATTCCAAATACTGATTCAAAAAGATTAATATTTGAAATTGGTTGTGGCGTAGGAAATACAATATTCCCAATTTTGCAATACAGCACTGATCCAAACTTATTCATTTATGGGTGCGATTTCTCATCAAAAGCAATTGAAATAATGCAGCAAAATGAACTGTATGACACCAAGAGATGCAATGTGTTTGTATTGGATGCAACTAATGAGGAATGGGAGGTGCCATTTGAAGAAAACACATTGGACATTATTGTCTTGATATTTGTACTGTCTGCCATAGATCCTTCAAAGTGAGTACAATATTCTAATAAATAATTATATGAAAGAGATAAAGAAAACTGTATTAAAATAGGACATTACAAACGATAATCCACATCACAACATATTCGCAGTAATACAAATATAAATAAAACTGAATTATAAATAACTTTTAATTTGTCTCTTATTTCAGAATGCAAATTGTCATTAACAACATTTACAAATACTTGAAATCTGGTGGTTTAGTTGTGTTTCGTGACTACGGCCAGTATGACCTTGCACAACTTAGATTCAAGAAAGGACGCTGTATATCTGACAACTTCTATGCTAGAGGAGACAACACTAAAGTGTACTTTTTTACTCAAGAGGAAGTGGAAAAAATATTTAAAAATGCTGGGTTTCTGGAAGAACAAAACTTGATTGACAGAAGACTTCAAGTGAATAGAGGAAAGATGTTGACCATGTACAGAGTTTGGATACAAGGAAAATATAGGAAACCAATGTAGTTTACACATATTACATTATATTGGTAAGATGTACATAATTTCATTAAAACTTATACAAATTAAGAATAATTGAAATGTGAATTATTTATTTACTGATTAGTTAATCTATTAATTCACAGTAAAAACTAAAGATAAAAAACGCTAAGCCAGACAGGGACAACTAAATAATTACACAATATTTTCAAATTTGAAATGATATGGTGTCCTAAATTCATTCATAAGTTTAGTAATTACTTGCAATGGTGGTCCAGTCCAAGTAACTCTGACTGTGTTCAACAACTTCTTTGTAAATATCTCTATTTCCAATTCAGCAATTCGTCTACCAATACAAGATCTCACTCCGAATCCGAATGGTAACGTTACCATAGGATGAGTGTTGCCATGATACAAAGGATCCGATTTTTCAGCCAACCACCTTTCTGGGATGAATTCTTTTGCTTGGACATAGTGTTTCTCTGATTTTGATAAATTCTCATTTGGCGTTACTGCGAATACCTTAAAAAATTAATAGTTTTGATAAACATCACAAACTAGAATATTTCTTAAAAACTAACTATACAATTTCTTGTAATAATGTAGAGGAAAGATAAAGAGAGATCCAAGAATATAAAAAATATTTTAGAATTCATCAACACCAAATATTATTATTATACTATGACTTAGTTAATTTTAGGTCTAAAGAAATTCATATTGTACTTGTTACTTTAATCCTTCCTTACCCCTTTTGGAATAAGATATCCGCCAACTACATGTTCCTTAGATGTTTGGCGTAGGTTGCCAGGTAATATTGGCATCAGCCTCATGGACTCTTTCAAACAAGCTTTTAAATATCGCGCGCTTTTCTGCTCGCGTATCTCTCGCCGAACTTTCTCTTGCGCTTCTTGGTTTGTGGCCAGATGGTATAAAAGACCGGTAACTGTAAACGCCACCTGTATTTTTAAAAAAAATGAGGGTTATGTTAATGTAAATGTTTTAACTAGTCAAGGGATCCTTGCAATTTGCAAACCACATTTTGAAAGATTGCACCTATAGTTCAATTAAATAATGCCTCGTTTATTTTACATAAAGGCCCATTCCTACTATCTATGTTTCATCATCAATCAAATCAAGGATCAGCTGTACTTACCTATGTCTCACTTTCTATCTACCACTGCAGCTGCTGCTACAGCAATAAAATATAGAAAAATAAAATGTATCTCTTGCCTTTTCCAAAAATTTAGGTCCTACCTACACTATAGTACACCTATCTAGCAGTACAAGAAGTTAAATATTTTATGTGCTTAGTAATACGCTTACCGTATCAATTCCAGCTAAAAGCATTTCGTTTGCCATCATGACAGCCACTCTCTCATCTATAGCAAGCAATTTTTCCAGAATGCTTTGGTCTTCGTCTGGCACGTCGTGACCTCTTTCACGAATTTGCTTTTTCGCTTGATTGATATACATTTCGCTTACACTAAAAATGTTATTCGTTTATCAATCTAAACCAAAAGTCACCACGAAAATAAAGCAAACTAGATTTTTATTTCAATTTTCATTTGTATCTAAAACCTAAAGCATTATTTTGAAGGCACTTACTCCCACTGTAGGTCATACATCTCCATCATTTTCTTGAAGTTTGCAGACTTTTCTTTATTCCAATTTGGTATGAATTCCAGTTTGAACATTAGGTCTGCGATGGTCTTCGAGCAATACATTAGTTTCTGGCTAGGGTGGTCTGCTGGTAAATTGTCTTGAAGACAGCCTAGTCTATTTCCTAGTCCAACTAGGGCCACTGATTCTAACGACCATTTGGTTATTTCTGAACTGAATTCTTTAGGCTCATCTTTAAATCTGAGTAACCTGAAAATTAGATCATAATTTTGATGTTGAATCTAGGTAAAACTATTAATTTCGTCCCAGTATATTTTTGTCTACCTTGCAATTGAATCTTCAGCAATCTGTTCAAGCCCTGGAGCGTATAATTTGACAAGTTTTGGTTTCAGTAACGCCGGATTTACTTTCGTACGAAAATCACGCCATTTCTCCCCTTGTCTGAGAAATAAAATAATGGTGACATTATTTTGTCCACTGCCAAATCTACTTTGTATATATCGATGATATCGTTACGTTAATTATTATTTATGAAGGTACTATCGGCCACAGCGGCGTGAACTATCCTTTTCCGTTTTTGCTATCGCTTTCAACAAATGGTGATTCTTTGCGATAGAACGAGACGACATGACCGGCAATGGGTAGTTAACACTGTTTCCGATAGTACTTTGTGCATACCTCTCATCTCTCTTTATGCAAGAGAATCTCCTGTAGCTGGAGCTCTAGTGTTTGTCCAAACATCTTTCAAGATTACCCGATCGGTTACTAAGATTGTTCTAAGGTAAATGAGACCACCCCATTCATGCAAGTCTTACACACCAATTACTTACGCAGATGTTAGGCCGTAGACTCCATCATATCTTTCTTTCCGTAGAACTTCTCTGTAATAATCCAAGGCTTGTACTCCTGGCCGAAGAGGATTTGTTTCTTCAGCCCTATAAACCTGAAAAATAAACATTTAAAATAAATAACAGTCAACATTGTGGATTCTAGGTTCATATAGAATGTTCATTAAAATAATAATTTAATAACGCACCTTCTCATAATCCCCTGGTTCAAAAAGCACGACCATTGTACCTCTGCCGAAAATACCATCAATTTTCACAATGGGCCCAAACTTTTTGTTCAAAATATCAAACATGTTGAAAAAGTTCTTTTGGAACCCGACAGTGCCTGAAATGTATTAAATAAAATAAAAGGTAGTCAAACAGCCAACTTAAGGTGATAAAAAATCTCTTTCTTTGAAAATTCTCTTGAAATCAATGCACAGACACATGATACTAAAACAACTCTTATTACAACTGTGCTATAGTGTAGGTATAGTGTTTAGTTTGACGTGCTGTCGTCTGTGAACATACTCATACTTACCAAAAATGGGTATAAAATGATGCAGGACCCCTATAATCGGCAAAGCTTTTAAGCCAGGCACAGACTCGAAAGGTTTCGGCGACTCCGTGCTCAAGTATCGAGAGAAAACTGTTCTGCGGCAGAAAATAGAAAAGTAAGTTAAATTAATAATAAAAGGTAAACAAGTTAATATTGAATGCCATAAGTAATTAAACTTAAAAACCTCTTTATTGAAAGGACAAAAAGATACCCCAAGACTTATTAATCTACTATTTTCAACTCAGTAGCGCGTTGGTGTAGTGAAAGGTGAAAGGCTTATCAGCCGTCGCCTTTGGTCTAGGGTTCGTTTCCCACTTTATTCAATTTATAAAGTAGAAACTCCACGGATCCGTCGTGATGAACATCCTTAATATAGATTCATTGGTATAATTTTGTTTGAACTTCCGGTTAGCCGGGAGAATATCCGCAGGGCGGCTAACCGGACAGTGCACACGAACCCTTATTTACTTGTCCATTTAAAGTAATATTTCACTGTTTTTCGAAATACCTACCTAACTTTATGTAGTAAGTATGTACCGAAAAACTAACTTGACCTTCACTGGTTGGTTTTATGTTGGTGGTAAAATTCATAAAATTCATTTATTTTTGCAAATAGGCTTTAAAAAAGCGCTTTTACAAGCTACAAAGCTTTAGATCCAAGAGTTGCAGCGGTGAGAATAGTCCTGTTAGTATGTAGGTACATACCGCATCATTATCTTTCTATTGGTAAGTACTTACCAAGTGTTAAGTATTATTGTCTTACATAAACAAATTAATCTCCATAAAATACCAAGTAGGTACTTACGTACTTGCATTTTGGGTGTGGTCGGATGCACATCCTGGCGATCGTATCGACTCTCATTTCTGATCGCCTAACAATGCTATTGTTTTTATAATTGTATCAAAACAAAATGACTAGACAACCGCCGTACACGTGTAGCTAAAACACACTAACATCGTTACGAGTATTTATATCGAGCGAGCGTCCAATTTGTTTGACCCTGAAAATGCGTAATCTCGCCGCAAGAAATGATAGGATGTAAAATACATACTTGATAGATAAATGATTGAAATACTATGAAAACAGGTACCTACTACGATTTGTGGTCTAAGTAAGCTATAAATCGAATGAAACTTTATAATCTTAGAACAAACATACCTACGCTTTGATTAAGTAAAGCACTAGTTAATCAAAGGTTACTGCTACTTCGTTTACATAGGTAGGTACTGGTACATTTTAAATAATTAAGGTAGATTTACTTATTGCCGAAATTGGCTGTTGACTGTGAGCGAATCTATTCATCTCGTGAATACCTATTAGGGGGTTTGTTGAGGCGTTCAGCCTCCTTGCTTCAATCTGTGCGCGGCGCGGCGTTTTATTTTTAATTATTTAGGACTTCTTTTGTTTCTCTTCTCTTGCTTTGGTCGTCGTACTGAACTGTCATGGTTTCAATATATTTGTAAAACCGTAAAAGAAAGTGTTTTAATTAAATGGCACCATGTTCTACGAAACATAATTTGGTGGCCCATGAGGGGAACAATCGAGACATCAAGTATTTTCATCAAAATATCAAGAAAAATCCGACGAAAGGAATTTGTTCAACGGTCGAATTTCATCATCATGCTAACTAACTAGTAATGCAAAGGGAATTTCCACAAGAAGTCTGAGGTTGTCCAAGGATCTAAGGAGGTAACGAGCATCGTCTGGCCGGGCCAGTGACGTCACAGGAGCATCACACCGCAGCGCAGATCAGATAGCTAAGTGCCCCGTCCGCAACTTCCATTCTACAATATTCCAATACAATTTCTCGTTCAATATCGACAAATATCGTCAATCCAGTTTCAATCCACATTCTAACATACATTTCCTAAAGATTAGTATAATTTTTTTGGCAATNCTGAAATGTTTTAAATAAAATAAAAGCAGGTAGTCAAACAGCCAACTTTACGTGACCAAAAAATATATTTCTCAGCCTTATTTAGAAATCAATGCACAGACGATAGCACATCAGACAAAATAGCTCTAGCTGTCGTCTGTACATCTTAAGTACTTNTTTTGGGATTTATTAGGGAACGAGGAATCGTCTCTAAGTCCTTCAGGACCTAAACTACGAAGCTCAAAATTAGGTTGGTTGAT